GACACAGAGCCCTCATCCGAGCCTTCCCCAGACTCCAGGACTGGCCCAGGTTCCTCCCCAACCTCCCCACTGTCCGAATCTGCTGCCAGCCCTGCTGGCGGGCCACAACATTATCTCTAAACACGCTCACAATTATATTTGTGTGTTTCCCTTTTGGAATATTGTTTATTCTGTCTTCATGCCTTGCTCCTTGGACAACCTATTTCCTCAAACCATGTAATAATGCAAAGGGACTGTTTCATTGAAAGCCACCCCGCAATCCATCTTGCCAAATATGTCCTTGAGAAGCTCTCCTACAATGGATCTTTTCATCCAGTGGCACGATCTTCTCCAGAAGAATCCAATGTTTTGGTGCTTTTCCAAATATCAAGTGGATTTACTTCTTGTTTTTTTTTTTTCCTCCTGGAAAACGTTTCGCTTCTCATCCAAGAAGCTTCTTCAGAACTTCGATGAGAAGCGAACCGTTTTTCTGAAGAAAGTCCGGCTGGAAAGAAAGCAACTTTGCGGGACAACGACGACCTGGATGATGGAGGATCTCATCTAGACAAAACTCCCAACGGCTTACCAGTAAGTGCTTCACCACTTTATCACTTGGGACTTCTGGAAACGGGCAGGCTCCTCCATCACAAAGTTTGCTCTCTTCAGAGTCCTGGAAAGGAGGCCAGGGAAGAGAAAAGGGCAGATTTAACAGAGTTGGAAGGGACCTTGTGGGTCATCTAGTCCAGCCCCCCAAGCAGGAAACCTTACACCACTGAGGCCAAACCTTTTCGGCACTAAGTGCCCAAACTGAAACCTGTGTGCATTTATGCGTGTGCCGCAGTGCTGGAAACCCGAAGACCGGCTGTTTCGCGCCTATGTGTACGCCGTCTAGCTGGTGTTCGGGTCCAGCTGGTCTTCGCATGCGCAGGAGAACCCCAAAGACCAGCCGGACGGTACATGCGTGCCTGTTTTTTGACTTGGTTTTTTGGCGATTTTTCAGGCTGTTTTAGGGGCGTTTTCCGGCACTCTGGCAACTGTAAAGACCGAGAACCAGAAGGGCAGGTGGCGCGAGCGCATATGCCCACCGAGAGGGCTCTGGGTGCCAGAGGTTCACCCTCACCATCTCTGAAAGAGGGCAGTCCAGTCTCATCTTGAAAGCCTCCAGGGATGAACCTCCCACAACTTCTAAGGGCAACTTCTGTTCCATGGGTTGATTGATCTCACAGTCAGGAAATTCCTCCTTATTTCTAGGTTGAATCTCTCCTTCAGGTACTTTGGAGAATAACTTGATCCCCCTCCTCTCTGTGGCAGCCCCTCAAATATTGGAAGGCTGCTCTCCTGTCTCCCCTGGTCCTTCTCTTCACTAGACTAGCCAGGCCCAGTTCCTGCAACCGTTCATCGCATGTTTTAGCCTCCAGTCCCCTAATCATGAAGAGCCGAGGTGGCTCAGTGGTTAGGGTGCAGTATTGCAGGCCACTTCAGCTGACTGTTACCTGCAGTTCAGCGGTTCTNTGTCCATGCCCACCCAGTCACATGGCCAGCAAGCCACTCCCACAAAGCAGGTCACACCCACAGAAGAGGTTCTAAAAAAATATTAAACCCACCACTGGGCCATGATTTCTCTAGTAATACAGATTGCCAATGCTGGAAAGAGAATTCTTGATTTGAAGTCTATTTGTTACCGCTTTATGCAATTAACTAATTATTATCACTGCACAAACTGATAATGTTGAGATGCTTTTAGTTAAGATACTTTGCTCTAATGGTGTTCAGTGGAATATACGCAAATTAAACATACCGACAGGTCAGGTCCAGAGCAAGGAAAGGGGGAGAGAAGATTTCCATTCCAACCTGAAACATGTTTTTGTTCAGTGTTCATAATTTTGTCGAATAAAGGAAGCTGATCTTGTGCCAGAATGCTCATGTTTTGTATCTCTCTTTCTATCCTTATATGGCTTACTTTCCATTAGCTGACTTTGTACACATAGTATATAAATGAGTTTCATATATTTTCATAGATTTACATACTGAGACATCCTCTTGGGCAGCATGCAAATATTGCCCCTTCATAGAACAGGAAAACTGTGACTTCCACAAAGCAAAGGTACATGGGTATGTTTGCCATTAGTGGCAACTGTTGAAACAATATCTAGACATTAATCTGTGAGACATGAGATACTGTTGAGTGAGAATGACAGAGCCTCCTACTGCCTGGAGAGCAGAGTGTTAGGTTAATTGAATTTTGTTGAGACACAGCCTGATTGCCTCATCCCCACAAAGATGGATGATATTTGCAGCAGTCACATTTAAAATATATTTATATCAACTTTCCCTTGCTTAGGTACAAGTATGAGAAATTGAGCCAGTCTGAGATGTTTACTTTGCTGAACCAGGATTAGGAAAATCCACCCTGAAGTCCACCCATGGTAGCATGAGTGGCTTTGAGTATTTTTCTCAGAAATGTTGTGAGAATATAATGAAGGGAATCCTCATGTAAGCAGCACTTGAATTGCATCCAGAATCCTACTGGTAGTAACTATAGTTCACAAACTATCAAAGTACACTTGTAACCATTCACATATTACTGCATTCTGGATCAGTTGTAACTTCCAAGAAGTCTTCAAGGGCAACTCCATATAGGGGGCATTGCAGTAGTAAAGAAGTCAGAGGGAATATCAGTTGGAGCTTCAAATGCAGGAAAGGCCATCAATACAGACAGTCTTCAATACAGACTGTATTTTTGCAAAGGCCTCCAAGGAAACAGCTGTTCCCCTACTTCATTTGACAAAATATCTCATGACAGTCTGATTAACAAACTATTTAAATATGGACAAGATGGCATTTTTGTTCAGGGATCCAAGTCTAGTTTGAAAACTATATTCAGAAAATATTAATTAATCTTCTAGAATGTTTGTTAATGTCCCAGAAACTGGAATATGATATTAAGTTTGGTGCCACAGAGTTTGATCTTGTGCCTAGTATTCTAATGTATTTTAACTTATGCCTTGGATCAAAAGACAGAGGGATTGCTTATCTAATTTTCAAAAGGAATAGGTGGTGGGAGAGCTGGTCTTCTAAGACAGGGGTTCCCAACCCCTGGTCCATGGACCAGCACCAGTCCACAGCATGCCAGAAACTGGGCCACATAAACAAGTAAAGCCTCATCTGCAGGATGCAGGCAGCACACGAAACCACGCCTCTAACAGTCCATGGAAAAACCTCTCTCCATAGAACCAATCCCTGGTGCCCAAAAAGTTGGGGACGACTGTTCTGCGAGAGAAATAAAATTCAAAATATTCATGATAGTTAGAGAAGTGGGATGAAAATAACTGAATGAAATCCAACAGAAACAAATTCAATGTTTATCACTTAAAAAAGAAGAATCAAATATGAGACTAAAGGAGGGGAATGTCTGGTTTGGAAATAGTGCTTGTAAAAAAGATACTGAAATTATAACTGAACACATATTGTATGAGTCTGTATTTTTATTGTGGCTTCTGCTTGCTGCATCACAGCATAATTGGCTGCATCAACAGCAATTATTACATGCACATATACATTGAAGAACAATTCAACAGTGAAGAAGTTGTATGGTCATAACAGAATTACAGAATTAGAAGGGGTTATTTACACCACAAAATCCAACAGTGCAAACCTCCAACTAAATCAACAGATGTTTGTCAATAAATCTGTGTGACTTCTTTGGCCTGTTAAAACAATGAAATTTAGCAGGGAAGGTATTTGGTTACTGTTGAATACTAGCGCGGGAAATACAAGCGCGGNAAGTTGCTAAGGTTGAGAAACACTGCTCTACACAGCCGATAATGAAGTTTAAACTTCGTTATCGGCAAGAAAACTGAAGCTTCGAGGCTATTCAGAAGCAGGTGATTCGAAATGTTCCAGGACATTGACAACGGCTAAAAAGATATTGCGGATGAAGGTAAATGCGGTCAATATTTTCAATGGAAACCCCCAAAACTGGCTTGGTTATCTATGTCCTGTAACCCCAGCATTCCACAGTTCGAATCCTGAAGCAAAGACTGCCAAATGAGGTTGACGGACAACGAATAATAGAATTCTAAATTTTTTAAAAAATCCCCAGCTCCTATCATTTAGGTAAAATGCTTTTCCTCTCACAGTAATTATTGCTTTAAGTTTGCAAACCAGCAAGGCAAGTTTGGGAGTTCGGTGACTCCCAGTGCAAGAGATAAATTCAGCCATCCCTGCGCTCTGTAGATGGGTTTGGATTACAAGTCCCAAAACTCCCCCGGAATTCCGGGGTTGGAGTCTCAAAAGCTACAGGAGAGCAACCAAAAGGACTCTTTAATCTCTCTTCCAAAGCTGGAAGGGTGATCAAAGCAGCTTTTTGCTGAGACATCTACTCTGGACATGCCTCCCTAGAGCAAGAATTTGCCCAGAGGGGGATCCTCTTGAGACCACGGACAGCCTTTGAGACCACGTGCCTCAGGCGATCGGATGTCCCTCAACCCACAATTGGGATGCTTGTTTCTAATAGCACGTCTCAAAAACCGTGGCGACTTTAAGATGGGTGGACTTCAACTCCCAGAATCCCCCCCCCCCTGCCAGCATGGGTGACTGGGGAACTCTGGGAGTTGAAGTCCACTTGTTTTAAAAGTTGCCAAAGTTGAGACACTGCTCCAGTATATAACCATTGTGAACAGCAGGGTCCTAATTGCTTGCCGCAAGGGGCAGCTGAGTGGGGAGGAGGCCACCCCCCTCCCTAGGCCTGATAGAGGGGAACCGCACGGTCTATGTCAGCCCGGCAGATGGGGCAGGAAGAGTTGGGCAAGGCCTGGAAACAATGGAAGCACAAGCAGATGTGGCCACAGGGAAGCAGGACGCACTCGCGCGGGTTGCTCAAGCACACCACGCAGGCGTTGGCGGGCAGCTCTTCGTCCTGGTGATTCCTCAGGTACTCTTCAAATTCCTGCCGTTGCTCCTCCCGCTCCCGATTCAGCTGGCGGATCCGGTAGGCTCGACAAAGGGACCTTAGGATAACCACCGCAGCCACCAAGCCGCACACCAAGGCTGTCCATTTCCAGAAGCTGCTGGCCGACTGCAGACCGGATAGCAAGGTCTGCCAATCCTCCAGGCACAGGAAATAGCCGGCTCCGTTCGAAGGGGGCTGCAAGCAGAGGGTACCGTCCGGGCGCTGGGCCAGCTCGCCGATGCCGGTCAGGCTGCTGCCTACCAAGAGCATCTCTTCCGTCTCCAGGAAGCCCTTGGGCTTCTCCCCGCTGAGGTAGTGGCTGAGGAGGTCTTTGAAGCCATGGGAGGTCTGCTGGAAGCGTTCGTAGACGGTCTCCAGGGGCAGGTCAATCGCCTGGAGGGGCAATTCCACGCTTACCCCTCCTGCCGCTTTGTCGGTGGAGGCGAGGACAAAAGGGACTGTGTGCAGCTGCTCCAGCACCACCCGTTCACTGTCGGTCCTGCAACGACAGGAAAGCAATTGGAGGGGAGGCCGCAGCAAAGGTCTCCTGATCTGAAGCCCAGATTTACCTTGCCCAGAGACAGCCGTAACAGGAACACAAGGCTGAAAACCACTTAGGGCAGGGGTCGGCAACCTTAAACACTCAAAGAGCCACAAAGGTCCTCACCAGAATCCCCTCCCCATTCAATTCTGGAGCCAACCGGAAGTCCAGTTCCCCCACCATAGAGTCTCCTCCTAGTGNCAGGATCTCAAACCACATGGTCCTGTCCACCATTAAACCATCTTTCCAAGCAGTCTCCATCTTTCTAGTGTCTTTCGTCCCACTTGGAACTGAACCCAGATGGACATTCCTTCCAACAGAACCAAAAAATAAATAAATACAAGTGTTATGTTACAGCCTTTGTTGGCCTGGTTCAACATTTCGTTGTGTAATACTAAACAGCCTTCTGTTTGTTTGCGCACCTGAAAATGTTCCTCTCCCCCCCCCACCTTTTTCCTTCCCTATGCAAAGGACGGCATGTGTTGGGATGCTCTCTGAATTAATAAAGCGAGTGTGGCGAAGAGGTATTTTTCCTCACACCTCATCTTAAGACAGACTCAAGGTTCCTGACACAGAAAATATGTCAGGCAAAGAACGTAATTGAGTGGTCTTTGTGGTTTCGGAAACTGTCTGACAAGCAAGGGGAGATGAGAAAAAAAGGAAGAAAAAAAAGTACAAGGAATTGAAAGGAGACATCAGACAGCATCCACTTATTAGCAAAACGCTGACAGGAGTATTTTTTTTTTTTGTGGCCAGGGATTCTGGTGAGTTAAACGGACTTGAATATGTTATTGCCAACACATTGTGTTACATCTACCCTTACATCTAAGGGTGACTCTAATCGCTGCCTTCTTTTGTCTTGAAGTTTTCAGTTACAGGTACTTAAACAGTTCGTTTAGTGACTTTTCAAAGTCACAATGGCACTGAAAAAACAGTGACACATTGTCAGTGTAGTATTCATGAACTGGAATATGGCTTAGTAACAAGGTAGGCCAATGGGAGCTGAAACAATTTGGAGCCTGACCGTGGCTTAGCTCTGTAGCTCTGAGTCTGTGCTGACCTCAAAACTACTATGCTGCTCTGAACTAAAACTGAAACTGTTCTCTCTTCTGCCCGTGTTTGCTTGTATTTACTACCACATTGGAAAACCTGCTTTTGGTATTGTATATTTACTTCATGTGTTATATTATCTATAAGGAGAGGTTAATGAATCCTGCTGAATCAGTTACCTGTGTGTGTGTGTGTGTGCTTTCTGGATGTGATTGCTGCTGCAAACTCTGAAACGTTTTTCACATGTATGACCATTGCCGCATCCCCATGTGATCAACATTCAGACCAGGGTTGGCTTCCGCAGGCACTACTGCTGGTTTGCTTGTGGGCGCACTGCATGTGCATGTGCAATACAATAAAAATTGTTCTGCGCATGTGCAGAAGCGAAAAACAAGATGATGGAGCCTACGGCACTGCCTGGAGAACTGGTTCAAGAGCATGGCAGCGACCCAGGCTGCCAAACCACTGCCAGTTTAGTTGAACTGGTCCAAACTGGTAGATTCATATGCTTGAGAACTAACCCATATTTATGACGGTTGGAGTGTCCTGAGGTCATGTGATTTCCTTTTGCGACTTTCTGACAAGCAACGTCAAGGGAGAAGCCAGCGTCCCTTAACAAGCGTGTAACTTTAAAACCGCAGTGATTCACTTCACAATCGTGGCAAGAAAGGTCATAAAATGGGGCAAAACTCACTTAACAAATGTTTCACTGAGCGGCAGAAATTTGGGGCTCAATTGTCCAGAGTATCTGCACATGTTTTTCACTTGTGACCTCTGGGAAGTATCCGAGGGACTCAGAGAATCACATAGCCCCTGGCTGAGAACACTGGTGCTTGTCAAAAAACACGCTCACAATTAAAAAGATGTGCATTTTCAGAGAATTATAGACTTTTCTCCACACCTCACGCAGCTGCTCATCAAACACCTTGCTGCTTATTCTTACTTTTCTTGCATTTCTTTTTCACTCTGCCTGATTTTGAAACGAAAACTTTCTTTTTAGTCCCTTTTGGAAATCTCCTACAATTCTTTTCCAGATGACATGTGCTGTGGTTTATACACCCTGCTGAATTTTAAACTTTGGAATGATATTAGGTCCAAAGTCTGTGCTTCTAAGAGTGGGGAAAGGAGGAGGGATTTAAGAAAACATGGTGTTTTTGGGACCTACATATTTCCTGGTTTGGTTACATGCCTAATACATCTATCATATTTTTCGGAGTATAAGACGCACCTACCACCCCCCCCCAAAAGAGGGTGAAAATTTGGGTGTGTCTTATACACTGAATATAATCCCACCCACCCACCGGCTCCCACCTTTTGGCCCCTGCCTCCCAGCAATTTACTTCCTTGCAGCAAACGGAGAAAATGGGGCTTTTCCCTGTTTGCTGTGCAATAAGCTATGGCAATCCCTTCAGCCTGAAACAGCTGATGATTGGGGAGGTCCATGCTGAAATTGAAAGTGCAACTTGCTGTTTGCTCCAGGAGGCAAATTGCTGGGAGGCAGAGGCAGATTTTTTTTCCTTGTGTTAACCAGGCTGTTTGCTGTTTGCTGCAAGGAGGCAAGTCAATAACTATAAATGCCTATAGAATGTTCAATTTATTAGACTTATTTTTTAAAGACTGCTTTATTATTGTTCTAGACAACTTAACAAAACGGAGAAGCTTTTTTAACATAAATGCTTGCTCTGAAGAGGCCCAGTGCTGTTGTATCTTCTTTTAAATAGCAGAGAATAACTATACTTCCAGAAAGCCACATCGATTTTAACAGCATCTGCACAAGTATAGTCTGAAATGTAACACCACAAACAGTGTATATCATCTGTACTGTTTGCTGTTTGTTGCAAGGAGGCAAATTGCTGGGAAGCAGAGGCAGATTTTTCTCCCTTGTTTTCCTCCACAAAAGCTAGGTGTGTCTTATACTTCGGAGCGTCTTATACTCAGAAAAATACAGTAATTAATGGTTTTAAAAATTGTGCCTTGGTTGTTTTATGTAGAGTAGCCTGTTTCCCCATGCCCACCCCTTTACCAGTATTTTAGTCCACTCTAGATAACAACCTATATAGCAAGCATATGCTGGGAAGAAAAAAATGTGGTGACTGTAATTTAAGCTGAATAAATTCAGGGAGATGCACTCAAGGTGCAGCTACTGGAGTGGACATTTGAAGCCATGCAAGAGTTGATGAGTGCTGGGGGAAAAAAGCCAGTGACCCTTTAAGAAATATAATTTCCCCAGAGGCGATCGCCAATCCTTTTGGCTTTTGATATATGCATCCTGTTTTGTATGGAACATAAACCAGATGCAACTTAACCTTGAGTCCTCCGCTGAAGATCATCCTCACTGGCAATAATTTTGTGGGAGATGAAATGCAATTTTATAACTCAACAGTTCATCTGCAAGCCTTTCAGACTTTCATGGTGAAGTGCTTGTTTTTAAAGGATGGCCTAGCCAGTTTTGCAAAACTGTTTGATGTGGTCTGAAGAAGTTGAATTCCAGATGATGTTGAAAGCAGGGACATCAGGAACAAAGCCATCTTTGACTGTTACAGACCATCATTCTACAAGGGGGTTTTCCCCCCCTTTTTGTTTGCAAGTTGTTTAGGAATTTGACTATTCTATATCTTTTATTTTGAAAGTTTATCTAGCTGGTCCCAAGGAAGTTGCATCTGTCTATGATTCAGTTGCCACAATATTTGAAAGTGGGGTCAAAGTACCTACATTCTGATGTGATCACACACAATTTGGCCTCAGTTATTCCTCCCACACTCTGCTTTTTATATTCCCAAATATATATCCTATTTATTGAATAGTTTCTACCGAATTAGACCAGCAGAGGTTAGAATGTAGTGTTGCAGCTGTTTGATCCTGATGGGACTCAAGATTAACTCAGGCTTCCATCCTTAAATTTACCAGTTGGTATTCAGGACCCAGATTGTTAGGGACAATGGGCTGATTTTATACACTGCTTAGAGAGGGCTATAAAACGCTATGAATCAGTATATAAGTCTACAGGCTATTGCTATTCCTCAATTTAGATTTCCTAATCCAGAAGCCTAGGTGGACTTCATAACTCTCAGAATTGTACACAACAAAGAGTAAAGGCTGATTTAGTTACTTCAGATTAACAAAGTTGGAAGGGACCTTGTAGGCCATCTAGTCCAACTCCCTGCTCATGCAGGAGACCCTATATTATTTTTGACAAATGGCAGTCCAGTCTCTTCTTGAAAGCTTCCAGTGATGAAGCTCCCGCAACTTCTGAAGGCAACTTCTGTTCCATGGGTTGATTGTTCCCACTGTCAGAAGATTTCTCCTTATTTCCAAGTTGAATCTCTCCTTGTTCAGTTTCCATCCATTATTCCTTGTCTGGCCTTCAGGTGCTTTGGAAAAGAGCTTGACCCCTTCGTCTCTGTGGCAGTCCCTCAAATATTTGAAGACTGCTTTCATGTTTCCCCAGGTCCTTCTCTTCACAGGACAACCCATGCCCAGTTCCTGCAACCATTGATCATATGTTTTAGCCTCCAGTCCCCTAATAATCTTGGTTGCTCTTCTCTGTACTCTTTCTAGAGTTCCAACATCTTTTTTATAGTGTGGTGACCAAAACTGGATGCAGTACTCTAGGTGTATTCTTACTAGGGCTTTATAGAATGGTATTAGTACCTCCCTTGATCTTGATTGTATCCCTCTTAATGCAATTTAGGACTGCATTGGCTTTTTTGGCTGCCGCTGCACACTGTTGGCTCATATTTAATTGGTTGTTCACTAAGACTCCAAAAATTCTCTCATAGTTACTGCTATTAAGCCTGGTTTCACCCAGTCTATATGTGTACTTTTGAGTTTTCTTGCCTAAGTTTAACACTTATCATTTTGTGTCCCTTTTTTTTTGTTTTTTGCTGATTCTATCTCAGTGCTGTCTGAGTATTGTAGTTCAACAAATAACTGAGCAATAAGATCCCAAACAGAGAGACTAACTAACAATGCAACCCAGAATACATACAAATAAGGCTGGAACAGGGGGGGGGATGTCAAATAACAAATCTCTAGGTGATTCAACAGAAGTGGTGATTCAGATGAACATCTAAATAGCAGACCAATGTGAGTTAGTTGCATCCCCCAAGCCTACAGTGTTGAACAGAATTATCATACCAAAATCTATTGGCAAAAATGTGAAGGAATTGTTCCTGGAAGGAAACGTAAAATGTGTATCAAGAAAGTTGATAAACTCCAACTTACAATCTGGAAGGGCTTTGATTGTGTTCAAATTTACAGCAATGTGAACTGGAAGTAATTATTTAATAATCAATGCTATTGTCCTCCCAGTGTCATAACTAACATCATTGACTAATCAATTGATTACGTACCAGCAAATCATTGTCATCTCTTAGCAACCAATAGGTAGATTCTTTCCAGAATCACCTGTCTTCAATTTGGGCTCACAGATTTCTCCGAGATCATTCATTGGTGTTGTAATCAACTGTATCCACCTTGCTATTGGCCATCCTTTTCTTTTTCGTTCAACTTTTTCTAGTATTATGAATTTGTAAGGAACTCCCATGTCTTCTATTTTTCCCTACTGCTATTTTTCCCTATTTGTTTTTAACTTTCCTACAACTTGTGCTCTCTCTGTCTCTCTCTGTCTCTGTCTCTGTCTCTCTCTGTCTCTGTCTCTCTGTCTCTCTGTCTCTCTGTCTCTGTCTCTGTCTCTGTCTCTGTCTCTGTGTCTCTGTCTCTCTCTGTCTCTCTGTCTCTCTGTCTCTCTCTGTCTCTCTGTCTCTCT